TAATGCACCCACATGCATTCAATTGCCACCATTTTGAACACACCACTATGAAATCAAGCCACAAACAATTCAAATGCTTCCTAACTATCATGGACTAAGTGAAGAACCTTACAAGCATTTGGATGAGTTTCTTGAAGTATGTTCCACCGTAAAATATACGGACATGCTGGAAGAGGTCTTAAGGCTTAACCTTTTTCCATTCACCCTTAAAGATAAGGCAAAATATTGGTAAACAATCTTAGGCCTTTTTCAATAACTTCTTGGGCGGAAATGCAACAAGAGTTCTTGAAGAAGTACTATCCGATTTCTAAGACCAATGCCATAAGAACCTCAATTAAAGAATTTTCACATAGGGATGGAGAAACATTTCATGAGGCATGGGAACGCTTTAATGAATTGCTTAGGAAGTGTCCACATCATGACATGCCTAAATGGCAATTAGTTTAATATTTTTTTGAGAGCTTATCGGACAATTACAAAGGCATGGTTGATGCTTCCATGGGTGGCTCTTACATTGATAGGCATAAGGATGACGTGTGGCGTCTTTATGAGAGCATGAGTGAAAATTCTTTGCATCGTACTTTATCTTCGAAGAATGGTAGAAATTCTAGTGGTAGGAAGAGTGTTGGCTTACATCAAGTCGACCACTCCAATGAAATTGCCGCCAAAATGAAATCATTATCTCAAAGGTTTGATCAATTTTTGATCAACCAAAAGTTGGCGAATCAAGTATCTTCCTTCCCTAACCATTCTCATCATGCATCTAATGAGACATGTATGACTTGTTCAAGTGTTTTACATTCTACTTCCAATTATCCTCATAGACATGTGCAAAGTGAGCATCATGAACAAGCAAATGCTGTTTTTACTAATCAAGGGAACAATCCTTATGGAAATCATTAAAATCATAGTTAGAGGAATCACCCAAATTTCTCTTTGAAAAACCAAGGGGAGGGCTTAAACCCTTATCAAGGCGGTTTTCAAGGAAAATACATTCCACCTCCACTACAAGACCAAGGTTCCCAAGGTTTTAGATCATCATATCAATCACACGGAAACCAATTTTCAAATTCTCATTTTCCTAATCAACCATCATATTCCCAAGGAAATGTTAGAAGTCCCGCTTTTGAAGAGAAAGTTTTGACCGCTTTGGGCACTCTAGAGGCAAACACACAATTACTTCATTCTCACTCTCAATCCATTGCAAAGCTAGAAACCCAAGTAGGGTAAATAGCTAGCACTTTAAATGCAAGAGAGAAGGGAAAAATGCCTTTGAATGCCCCACAAAAGCAATAATGTGTTGTGGAGACTCATTCCTCATCGGAAGGTCACACAATAGAGCATGTCAATGCGGTGACTACCTTGGGAAGTGGAAGGATTGTGGACAACCAAGTGTATGTCCAATGAAGAGAGTGAACCAGTGCAACAACAAGTTGACACCCGTCCCGTTTCATATCATATTCCTCCTTCATTGCATGTGCATGACCATATAAATGAGAAAGTTATGAAAAGTGATTTTGAAAAGAAAGATGTGCAAAATGATTTGAAAACTTCTTGTGTTGAAGAGACTTCAAAGAAAAATTCTGAAAAGGTTTTTGAACCAAAAGCTCCATTTCGGATGCCTTAAAAGGATCCATTTCAAATGACAAGCAAAAGGCCAAAGTCAATGAAATCATGGACGTGTTTAGGCAAGTGAAAGTTAATCTTCCACTTTTGGATGCAATCAAGCAAATTCTGGCTTCTGCCAAATTCTTGAAAGACTTGTGCACCCAAAAGAGGAAGAACAAAAGCCAAACACCTAGAAAAGTGGTCTTAACAGAGCAAGTGAGCTCAATTTTGCAGCATAACACTCTTCCAAAGTTTAAGGACCCCGGTTCACCTACTACTTCATGCATCATTGGTGATCATATCATTAATCGAGTTCTTCTTGACCTATGAGCTAGTGTTAACCTTGTTCCATACTCGGTTTATGTCAAATTAGGCTTAGGAGACTTAAAACCAACGTCGGTAGTTTTACAACTTGCCGACCGATCAATCAAAAAGCCTAGGGGTATATCAAGGACGTATTGATTAAAATTGATAAATTCTTCTTCCCCATTGATTTTGTTGTCATTGACACGGAACCGATCCCAAATCCTAAGAGCCAAATTCCTATTGTCCTTGGCCGTCCTTTCTTGGCAACCACGAATGCCAACATTAATTGTAGGATGGGGATAATAAAGATCTCATTTGGCCACATGAAGGTAAAGTTGAATATTTTCAATCCAACCCCCAATTCATTTGACAAGCATGAAGAGATTAATGTTGTAGAAAAATGTCATGACCTTAAAAGTGAAGGAATTAAGTTTTTGTGTGAGACCAAAGTTTTAAAAGTCCATCTTCAACCTTGAAACCAAAGAAAGTTGTTTCAAAATCTTGTTTTGAAAGGGCGTGGAAGCCCAAAGATTGTTGTGACCAAGGACCGAAAACGTCTTTTGAGCTTAATCCAACAAGTTCCTTAGAGAAGCATTTATTGGATGGAGTTCAAAGCACTTATCACCCCATTGAGGAGGGGATGCACTACAAGATGTTTGATCCAGGCTAAAAGAGCCCAACGTCTTGCTAGAGACGTTAAAGACTAGCAAGACATTTCGTAGGGTATCAAAACCCTATTCCTCCCTCATTTCTATCATTAATTTCAATTCTTGCAAAGTCTAGATAATTTTTTTTGGTTTATATGCATGGCTAGGAACTGTGATTAGGACTGCATGCACTTTTATGTTGAAATTGAGCATTTTGCATAAGTTCGATCGATCTCAAATGAGAGTTCGATCAATCGAACTTCGACCTGCATCCAACACTTAGAAAATTTTCGACCTGCATCCACCTGCATCTAAATCACCTCTCTGTCCCATCGATCGAATTTGTTATTAGATCGATCATAAGTCCTTAGATTGATCCAAACTTCAAATTCGATCGATCTTGAGTTCCAACACTTAGAAAAATTTCTGAACCCAAACCTACATATTTTTAGTTCTCTGTCAGACATTTTGTTTAGATCGATCTCTGATCCTCATCTCACTATCTTTGACTTTGCTTGACTTTTTAATTTTAAAATTCCAAAAATATTTTTATTTTATTTTATTTTATTTTCCAAAAATTCCAAAAGATTTTATTTTATTTTAATTCTTCAAAAATTCAAAAATTTTTATTTTCAATTTTTAATTTTTAGTTTTAATTTTTAATTTTCAATTTAAATTTAAAAAAAAAAATTTTAAAGAGAGATCATTTCAGTTTGATCGATCGAACTGGTTCGGGGAAGTTTTTAAAAATGAAACCGAGGGTTTCAAGATCGATTTCACAGATCGATCTAACCCTCTCAAAACCCTATCCCTCTCATCGTCACTGCACCCACTCTTCCCCATCTCCGGCGAGCTTCATCTCATCCTTCGATTTGGGTAAGATCCGCATCTCATCTTGTATTTCAAGCTTCGATTTGCTTCATACATGCTTTAAATGTTAGATCCATGCTATTTTGATGATGCAAATTTCCATTGATGAAGCTTTGACACACTTTGTATATATGTGTATATATATTTTGTTAGATTTTTAATTTTCGATTTATTTTGGGAGTATGGGCATCGTTAAGTGATTAGGATTGATGATTTGTGTATTGATGGGCCCACGACTATGTTCGTGAAGGCCCCGTGCCATTCATGTCACAGATCTGTGACTGTCCACATTCTTTGCTGAGTTCGATCGATCGAACATATTTCTTAGATCAATCGAGTGAGATCGATCGAACTTAGTTACTTAATTTCTCAGATTGATCATGAGAGATCGATCTCACATTTTTTGTGATCGATCAAACTTCACAGATTGTATATACACATTCCATGCATCTTATCTTATGTCCATGTTATCTTATTCATGCCCAATGCCTGTGATTCTCCACATTGGATGCATTTTACACTTATACTGCTTAGCATGTTCACGTCTTGTCACTTCCATAGATTCATGTCATTTATCTATTTTATCTATCTTACTTGACATACATGATTCTATTTTGTGCTTTAAATTCTTTATTCTGGCATTGACTTCTTTTGCAAGTTTTTCCTTTTATTTTGCAGGCCATGGCTAGAGTCAAGACTGTAGCCCGTAGACAATATCACCGCCGAGGCAGGTAGACTTTGGATGATGAGCCGGTCCATCTCTTGCCCAGGACCCCATACAGGAGGAGCCAGCTGAGCCCATACAGTTTCCCCATTCTGATAGCAGATTACACTCTGATGCTAGTGCATCTCCTTCACACAGTAACACTGAGGCTGAGCACATACCATCTCCACCACCACAGCCAGCTTAGCCACCCCAGGAGTTAGACCAGCCATTACGCAGATACTTACACCTTCTAGTGGCGTGCGAGTCAGTCTTCGACACAGACTTCTTTTCCCGGTTGGTACTTACCCGATCGGCTTATGATGATATACTATGGAGGGGCCTTGCAGCCATTCTTGCCCCTGTCACATACCCGGTGTACCCGAGGCTAGTACAGATGTTCTTCCAGAACCTCCGGCCTGCCCCGCGTAACACGGCGGAGCTGAGGACCTCCATTAATGGCCATCTGATTTCTATCACCGTGGACACATTATCCAAATCATGCCATTGTCCACATGACTGCCCTCTAGATCTACAGGAGGCATATCTCAGGCTATACCGGCCTTCATATGCAGATATGGCCGATTTTCTTACAGATCATTATGCCGATGGCTAAACCTCCGCCACCCACACCTATTTGCCAGATGACTTGTGGTTCTTTGACTCAGTCTTGTTCCTCAACATCTTCATGGCCGGCCATAAGATTCAGTGGATAGACGATTATTTGACAGCTCTGTACGCTTTATATAAAGGGCATTGGCTGTCTATCCCTGCGCTCATCTGGAGTATGATGAGGAAGCTCTATGATGATCACATTAGCAAGGAACGGCCCAAATCGGCTAAGTCTCTCCCATTTAGCCACCTCATCACCCAGATCTTGCTAGACCAGTGCTATCCTTTCCATCCACGGGAGCACCCTGAGCGAGGATCCTGTCATTTCCTGAAGAAGGGCAGGGATAAGAGCTACAATGCTATTATCAAGAGATTATAGGATGATGTAGTAGAGGCAGCAGAGGAACTAGAGGCTGAGGAGGCAGCAGCAGCAGCAGACCCGGCAACAGACGACATACCAGTCGATCCGGCTGCCGTACACATGGATATTGATTTAGAGTAGCCTACAGAGGACACAGAGCAGCACTCTCTAGTTGGGTCACCCATTCACGCACAAGGGTAGACTCAGGATCATCATTCTTCTAATCCAGCCACACCTGAGGCTCCAGATCACATACCCAGCTTTGGAGAGCATCTTCAGACTCTGGAGGACACAGTGGTATCTATCCGTGCAGAGACTGTCGCCCTAAGAGCTGATATTGCTACCCTCCGTACGGATGTCATGACTGCATTCAGGGATCTATCCAGAGACATCTGCAGAGCGCGACCTGCCCGTCCTACCTCTTCTTCCTGATCTCTCTATCCCTTTCCTCCTGCTATTTTATATATTTGTGATCTCATCATGTTTTTGATACTATTATACTATTTTTATAGCCGTGTCTGTCGGCTTTGCTACTGGATGTACTATACTTTATTTTTATATATGGTTTTGATTTCTCTATACTTTCTTTATGGATGTCATATTCTTATATTCTTATATCTGTCTGTTTGACTCCATCAGGTGCATCTCAGTGACTTTAGTGAGAGAGAGTGCTGCACAATTTTCAGGACCACCCTTTTACCTTTCTCTAATTTTCAGTTGCTATCCCATTTACACTTGGATGACCACTGTGCACTATTATTATCCCTTTTGCTATCTGATGAGTTTATCCGAGTGCCAAATTTCAGGACTACAGTTCATCCCAAGTTTGGGGGGGCTATGCCACCCACTTTGGATACTTCTGTCCTCGCCATTCTTTGCCTTAATTGCACTGGTATACTCTTTTCTTTTGTTCCCTTTGCACATTGAGGACACTGTGCCATTTAAGTTTGGGGGTAATGGTGCTTTGCAGTGTTTGTTTTATAATTCAAATTTTTGAGCATGTCTTGTGTATTTGAGAGAATTTCTATGATTGGTCCATGATTAGCTATGATTTTGATCTTTTGAGGACTATATTGCTTAGAATTTAAGAATTGCTTGACTTGAGAGTCCAATAGTCCTTGTATGCCTTTTGGATGCCATTTAGGAGTACATTTTTTGAAAAATTGATATCTTGCTTACACTTATGGTTCACATCATCTTGATTTTGTGATTGTTTTGAGATTCACTCTAGTATTCTACACTAGCACAGGCGCACACTAGCATTCATTTGTGGGGTACATGCTTTGTTGATTATTGAATTGGTTATATCCCAATTAGGCTAGTAGTGCATTGAAAGCTTTCATTTTGATAAAGGTGGATAACAACCCATTTTCACTAAGTAGCCGGGATTCTAGCCTCATCAAACACTGAACTTCTCGCACCGAAAGGTGGAGGGTCCAAACTCTAGGTTAATAATTGAATTAAAAAAAAAAAAAAAGTTGCAAAAGTAATAAAAAAAGTGAGGACTTCTCCCAAAAGGTGAGAAGTGGGAAATGATTAGACGGAGGTTGTTTTGATTTGTAGCATAGTCGATTTGAGCTTGTAAGTCCGTAGGGGTGTTTGAACGCCTAATGCCCTTAAGCCGTCTAGTTTGGGAGTCATTGACCTAACGCTCGACCTCATGGATCGCTAGAAAGCTTAATAGATCAACACATTGCACCATACTTCCATCTTTGATCCTAAAAAAAAAAAAAAAAAAAAAAAAAATTGAGTGAAAAGAATAAGCGCGTCTAAAATAAAAAAACTTTAATAAAAGGTCCACTTTTTGTCTTAATGATCGGTACTAGATTTGTGTGTTAGTTTGAGGGTAAGGATGTGATTAATTCTTTAGTTGGCTAAGATAGTAACATACTTGATGCCGGTCCACTCAAAAAGGATTCTAGAGTTGTTTTGATTTTCATGATCATTTTTTTGATGTGTGAAGGACCATACTTACTTGCTTGATGTTGAAATTTTAGGAGATTGCTTAGAAATGTTTGAAACATTGCATACTTGAGGTAGTTTTCTCCCAATACTTGTTTACAATATTGGTGCCTCTTTTGAAAGAATGAGCTTAATGTTTGTAGGTATCATTTCTGGAAACCCTCATGAGACTTCACTCATCCACTAGGGGTGACCTAGGGGTTTAAAAGCTTGTTGCATATACTAAATGTAATCGTGTTCCCTACGAAAGTGGCGTTATCCATTTATTACTTTCTAGTTCATAGTTGTATAGTTGTTCATTTCATTCCTTTACTTTCTAGTTCATTGCTAGGGACTAGCAATATTTAAGTTTGGGGGTGTGATGAGGGTTGAAAAGTGCGTATTTAAACCCCTTAAGCTTAGGTATTCTAGAACCTTTATCTATCTTATTCTCCCGTTTTGTATTGATTTCGTGTTATTTCCATTTTTAAATACTTATCCTGAAAACAAGCTAACTCAGCCAAATAAGAGCATAATTGAAGCAATTCTGGGATGAATCAAAGAAAGGAGCAAAGTAGAGCAAAAGAAAGCAAAGGGTGGAATTTCAACAACTTCGATCGATCTCAAGAAAAGTTTGATTAATCCAACTTTCATCGATCTCAGCACTTCAAGATGGATCTGAGCCATGTTTGTCCCTGTTCAAAGATCACAAAAGTTCGATCGATCCAAGTTCCTTTTCTGATCGATAAAACATTCTTGTCCTTATCCAAATGATTGATCTTATCCAGATGTACCACTCTAATAACCACTTTTGTCCTTTTCCCAAAAATATCTTCAAAATATCTCAGATTTGTTTTTATCCAAAAAGGTGCCGCCATTGAGGATCGATCCAGCCTAAGTTCGATAGATTTCAGCCATGTTCGATCGATCTAAGTCCAAGGTTCAATCGATCAAACTTCCTCCAGTGCGAAAAAGTTAAATTTTCAGCTCACAAAAAGTTGTTCTTTATCCAATCATTGGGGAATATTTGTTGTATGACCCCAGCTCATTTTGGGTGTCATTTGACCTACCTATATAAGGATAAGGATTACTTTTTGTATTATATCATATCATACCTTGTAGAACTCTTAGTGAGGAAGCAAAGAAGAAGAGGAGGCTAGAGACACCATTGGAGACTCTTCATCAACCAAAAAACCTTAGGGCAGATTTCTTCCATGAAGAAGAGCAGATTTCTTCCATGGAGCTTGCCCTTGATGGTTGGAGGACATCATCCATGAGTGGCTAAACATCCTCTTAGGGCTAGAGTTAGCCCTAAGCATGCTTTCTACTTCTTAAATTATATATTTTTGAGGGGATTTGTATTGTGATTCATGTCTTGACACTTATATATATATAGATCTTGTTTATTCAATGATTTATGTGGTTTAATGCTTCCAATTGATCATTTCATTCAATCCATATGTCTATGTATGCTAGAATAGATGTTCATGTGTTTGTCTCTATTTCTTGTGTTATTGATGCATGTCTATGTGTATTGTAATACCCCGATAATTTTAAAAGATTTATTAATTAGGATTAATTATTTTATTTTATTTTTCAATGATTTATTTTATTTTATTGAGTGCTAGATTAATTATCTTATTTTAATTAAGTTATATTTCGTGATTATGTATGATGATTGATTGTTTGTGTGGTTGATTATTGATTGAATTATTGGTGTGTTGATTTTATTGGTATTATATGACTTAGTTGTAAATTCTTGTTTGTTTATGTGCTTCATGTAATTAGTTATTTTAATTTCTGTATTTAATTAATTATCTTATTTATTTAAATTAATTGGATTGGGCTTAAGGAAAGTTGGACCAAAAGATGTGATCTTGGGCTTGTATGAAACCTTATTGGGTTAATTAATGAAGGTCCGTGGTTATTTAATTATTTAAATGATCACTTTTGTATCAATTATATTTATATATATATATATATATATAATTATATATAAATATAATTAATTAATAATTGTTATGGAAAGATATATATATAGATATATATTTATTGATATTTATAAGTATATATGATTTAATTAACTAATGAGTTAATTATGGAAGGAATATATATTTATATATATATATATGTTTATAGATATAAATTATTTAAAGATTATTATTTTAATTCATAATACTAGTTGGAATAGGATTTGGAATTTAAGGTGTATAAAAATACACATAAGGCTTTAGGGTTAAAGGTTTTACACGTTAGAAAAATAAAACAGACAGAGAGAGAGGAAGAAGAAGGGCTGACAAGGAGGAGGTCGGATCTGAAAAGAAGGACGTCGGAATTGGAAGAGATAATTAAAGCTTGAAGCGTCGGTTTCGTTTCGAAACCTTCAGGCGAGTTTTCTCTATTTTTCCTCTTAGAACCTATAAGGATTTCATCTTAAGTATTAAGGCTCTAATTAAATTATTAATTTGGATTAATTAAAAGCATCAAGTTAATTTATTTTATTAAATTGTGTTTAGATATGATTATTTAAAAGTATGAATTATTATATATTTTTAATTTTGGATTATTAGATTTTATTTGTATATGTAGATGTTGGATATATATATTAAAATCAATGTATAGGTGGAACTGTGACCTAAGGGGATTAATTTTGGTTTTTATATTTTCTGGAATTTTTCTGTACTTTTCAGAATATTTTTAGAATTTGTTTTGTAATTTTTTTATATTCTGGAATTTATTTTAGAATTATTTTTATTAAATTTTAAATTAATTCTATGCACTCTGTGTGAATCGGCGCATAAATCAGGAGATGGGTGATTCGAGGTATGATCTAGTGTGGTAGAATGCATAATAAAAGGTTACATCACTGATCTAGGCCATTGGAATAGTTTAAATATAAGTGGAATGATTCGGTGCATTACGGTGTACATAAAAGAGTGCGCATGTGAATCTGGACCATGGATTAAGTTTGGTCAACAGAAGATTTATCTGGTGTGGGTGCATACATGTGAGCTCAAGTGAGCTAA